ATGGGCAAAAAACAAAACTAGGCCCACAACCGGGTACACTCCCCTACACATTTTGCATAAGCTTTGATTACAGCTAGTTCTCTTTTTTTGTTGTTGTTCGGTTTAAAGCACAAAATATACAATTTCAGTAGTTTCACGGACAACTTATTTACATAAAGCAAAGCAAGACACATTGTGTTAGTACACATCATTTCCCATTGGATTTGGACAATTGTTGACGTTGTTTTTTATTTTAATTCTTTTGGTTTAGAATTCAGTTCTGCGTTTTATTCTTCACGTGAATTGTTCATTTCGAACCGAACGTTGTATTGTAGTGAAATGAATGCAAAAAAAAATACATGGCAAAATCATCGATCCAGAAAATGATTGAGATATATTGATCGGGGTCGATTTTATATCGTTAATATACACAATGTGTATATCACCGTGAAGTTATGATTTCGTTCCAAATATTGTCAGGAGAGATGAATTTTGGTGTGTGTTTGTGTTTATTTTCGAACACATTGCGATGTTGAGCGTTTGAAATGATTGAGTAGTTTTTGAAATGGGTTTATAATTTTGGGCCTGTGATTCCGAATGCGAATGAAAAACCGCGTCAATGCGAACGATTAAATTGTGATTTCAAACGCAATCAAAAGGGCGGCAACGGCAACAACGGCAAAACAGACGCAATGTTAATACAATATTGTGGATTCTCGTATAAAACACAGGAAATAAAAACGCAGAAACGCCAAAACGCAGAAAAAACACCACCTTGGATAGAGCAGTGGACCGGCAATCCAAAGACCTGTGGTTCGAATCCGCAGTCGCCTGAAAATCTTTTTCTTTAAAATAAAGAAATGATTTAACTCGTTCGCTTGCCTAGTCATTTAGAGTGTTGTTTCAAATCAATTCTTATTGATTTACAAAATGGTTGAAAGCCGTTCTCAATACTGTTTCATTGGAGTATTGAAATAATACGAATTTACCCACAACCAATCACCTTATGACCCCCAAAGGAATTTTTGGTTTGACCCTACCTGAAATTTTTAGTGTCAGAATCTATGAATATTTTAGTCAAAAATCAAATTTTTCATTTTTCTGTGTTTTTATTTCTGTGTTTTGTCTTTTCTGTGTTTTTTTCTGCGTTTTGGCGTTTCTGCGTTTTTATTTTCTGTGTTTTATCCGGATACCAATATTGTGTGTGTTTCTCTCAATTCTCGTCTCGCTTCCTCTGTGTTTGCATAACGTTAATAACAATAATGTAGCGATTATTCAAAAATTTATTGCACGATTTGCGAGAATGCTTTCATTTGTATGGCCTATTAAATAACTTAGTGGCTGCGATAATCCTAGCAAACATGCGCCCTCCATCCAAAATATAGAGAACGAGAGAAGTGGAAAAAAAACTTCAATGAAAAATGAAAACAACATTCGCGCCGCCGAATCTCTTTTACAACACCAACTAAAGCGTAAAAATATGGAAATGCGTGAATTGCGGCACTGCATGCTCGAAGAATAAAGAGAGGGAGAGAGAGAGAGAGAGAGAGAGAGAGAGAGAAAGAGAGAGCTCACAATGAATAATGGTGCGATTCTGATGTTTGGTGCGATTTTGACGAGATTTTGATTTTCCGCTTTTGATTTGTGCTTTGAGCTTTATACGAATGCAAACTGACACATATTATGTGGAATAGACAGCATTTACATTGCGTTTATATGGTGTTCATTCGCGCGGTTGAATTCAAACCGCCGAAAACAGACAATTATTTCTGTCGGTTGTTTGGAGTGGGTGAGTTCCCACACGCGCGTTTGTTCAGGATACTTTTTTCCATATTCTTTATGTTTTTCGCGTTTACGATTCTGAATTACAGCACCAGGGGAAAAAAGGGGAGACCATAAGATGAAATTACAAATTCAAATGAAATTTAATTATTCAATGCTATACTGTTGCGATATTGCAATAAATATATAGGCAAATCAGATAGAGAGGATAGTGAAAGCGAGAGAGAAAACGAGGAGAGTAAACACATCATAATGCCAATGCGATGACACACAACAGCGACATTATAACAGCCTGCCACTTTCATTTCCATATTGCAATGCATGCGCTAGCCAGGCATAATATGTAATGTGGTTATTTACATTTCGATGGTATGCTGTTTTTTTGTGGTGTGGTATTTGTTCTGGCTGAAAATTTTCTTATAATATTTCTCGTTCGAATGGGCTGACATCCAGGTGAAAAACCGTTTTTGCCACATGCGGCCCAATAGATTTTGGATGGATTTCGATGCAATTCCCTTTTTTTGAGGATAAATTGAGTTGAGCTGTTGACGTCGTTGTTAGCATTTTAGTCACCTCGACCTCATCGACGCGCTCTTTTGCCCGTTCGGTTTTCTATTTATCTGTCGATCTGGGTGCATGCCACATTTGTTCGCTACTCGAAGTGTTTGTGTGTTATATTATACTGAGATTGCAGTGAATTTTCGTCAGGAACAAGCACTGAAAGAAACTGACGAACAAATTTTTTTTTTTCGTCACGTTTTTCTTTTTCACTTTTTGTTTTCGTTGAATGCAAAAAAAATAGCTATTGCACGAGGCGCTCAAGATTTATGTAATTTGATTAATGCACCAAAGGAAAAACATTCTTCGACTTCCGTCATTTTGTTTCGGTGTAGCTCCGAAACACCAACAACTCTCAATGCCTCAATGTCTTCGTGTGTTGCCTGCTACTTGTTGGCTGTCGCTATTATTTCTGGTTTTTGTTGTGTTTTCTCTCTCCCTCCTTCCTCTCGCTTCACTTTGGGCCGGGGCTTCGGACTAATGCGAACGAGTGCCGATCATCATGCGGTGCCGGAAGGAGTTCAGCGCAAAAATTATGATTACGCAAAGTGTATTTTATGTTGATACTATATTTAAATGGCTCCGGAATGTTTTCAATATTCAAATGTTATGTGAAACTCCCTTGTACGAAAAGTTTTATTAACGTTCGGCAAAGTCGAAAAGCGACAATTGAATGAATGTCCCATGTGAACGGCATTGTGTGACAAAATGCAAATGCAGCTAGTGTTTGCGTCGCGTAAAAGAAAGTGAGAGGGAGAGAGTCTATCCAAAAATATACATGGCAATGATTTGTCATGTCAAATAGGCAGCAACGCGTTCGAAACTGAAACGACCGACCGCTGAAGAAACATCGACAAAAGAAATGGAGAAATTTATATTTAGCATTCAAATTTATTGTGTCAATAATTCTGAATTTGCAATGTGTATTTGTCGTTCACCCATAATGTGGGTGACTGTGCCATCGCATTTGTGCTTCACGTGATGTCGTTCTCAGCTGTTTCAGGTATGTTCGCACAGTGGCCGGTGCACATAAAAATGTTGATCGTTGCATATTTCCGTCCAACAGACGAGAGAAATGAAGAACCACATTGTTTATGTTTTTAACGGCCCCAAAAAAACTTGATTCGCAATTTATGAAGGTTTTTTAATCACCCGAAAAGTGTACACAAGAAATTGGCAGAGAAAAACGGCGAAACAAAATGAGAAGCAGCAAAAACAAAATCTTGTGGCATTTATGCGAAATAATTGAGGCCCTGTCGCATTCAATGTTCTACATTATAAGTAGGCGATTTAATAATCAGCCGAATGGATCAAAATATCTTTTATACGCATTTAATGACCTCAAGCTTCACATTGAAACTCGGCAATTATTCGGCGAGTTGACTTTAAAATTTATGGAAATAGGAATTCACAATAATCCTCATTGAGCCTTGTCATTTCGCAGACAATGGCAGTTCATCACCTATTCGCATCGGCGTCCCACCAACACACCGACCGAAAGTTCAAGTCATTTAAAAATCGAATCGACCGTATCACTTAAGCTTTCGAGCTCGACAAAACTTTTACAAAGAAATCAAAAATGAAAAGAAAAAGTGAAAACGATAAACGCGAATACAAATTTGAATTTAAAGAGAGAGAGCGAAAAAGGAACGAAAAGAAAATGTTGAGCTAGTTTTAAATTCGTATTCAGGAGCCTGAGTAAAAAAGTTGTTTTAAGTGTTTCCTTTTTTGTGGTTAGTATTCTGGTTTTGTGTAAAAGTATTTGCTTTGGTTTTACTTTCGTTTTCCTAACGATCTTTTTGGCATTGCCTGATCATTTTACTCAAAACACACGTAAACATTTCCGCTGTCTCCATACTGGACTAGTTTTGCTTAGAACAAACGAATTGTGTCACTTAAATAATTCGTAATGATTTATTTTTTCAATTGAACATTGGTTCAAAAAAAAAAGTTTGAAAAAGTTTAAGATTATTTAACGTTATTTCATCAAGAGTATATTCAAGGAAAAAGAAAACTTGGAATAAATCAAACGAATAGACTCACCCTTGCCGCCAGATTGGTGTTCGGTTTTTCGAGTGTGTCCCACAATGCCTTCTGGTACTGCGAATATTTACCATCGCCGAATTCTTCTTCTTCGCGTTGTCGCAAACTTTCCGCCTCTTTTCGCATCTCCTCGAACACATGCTCTTTGCGCTGATGGTATTTATGCTGACAGCACGATTCCAAATACAATTCGTCGACGCCCCAATACTCTAAATCATCGCTAAACGCTAACACGCACATTTCGTCTACCAAGTGCAATTTACCGGTTCTATAAAAATTTAATATTGAACTAAAACTTTTCGGATGTCTATCAAAAAAGTATTCGTTATCAACTAAAGAATAATCGTCACATAATTCGATGATCGCCTCATGTGTTGTGCATTCGCGTAATCGGCCGAGCCGAGTGTGTGGTAAACGTTCTAATGTACGCCACAGTACTTCGTGCCGTACACCGCCCACATTGATCGATACACGGCGATTCGTTTGCTTTGCTTGCGATATCATGAAGGGCTCTGGCTGTATCGATGACAACGATCTGCTACAATAGCCAAAATACAATGGCACATTTGTTGATGGAACGAAAACACATAAATATGAGCAATTCAAAAATGGCAAAGTCCAATCTAAATAGAGTAGAGATTGTGATCTTTAGCTTTAATCAGGAAATTTACCTGGAATGTGCTCTTTGTAATGGTGCTTGGTTGCAAATTGGATTCGAATGTTGTGGTGCATATCGTACTTCTTTTCCGGTGCCAACGGCGCTGGCCTCGCCGAAATTGTTGTTGTCTGCATCGTCATAGTCATCATCGTCTGGTAATGGTTTGCCGAATTGGTTTAATAAGAATGTACAAAACGGAAGACGAGAAATAAGCAAGTGAAATAAGTTTTACTCTCTGCGGTGGCACGTCAACATCAATGGCTTGATAATGAGCGTGCACATTTCGATCATTCTCATCATCACCACAAGCCGCCAGCAACACGGCGATGAACGCCGCCAACGGCACTATGTTCAAGGTAATTTAAATGGTTTTCTCATTGTGGCAATGTTATTTATTTATTTATTTATTATTTTATTTATTTATTACGAAGCCTACATTTATGACAATATGTGTTCACAGCGAGCTGCGAACATGCTGGTCATAGACCCAATACGGCATAAATTCACAACCCTCGCACCACACTAACAAAACAAAGTAAAACACGAATTTGCGATGATCGCATTCAGTGAAGTTCATTTCAATTCTTTACGTCGTTAAACGCACTCATGAACGCGACAAATTGAACGCATCAACAATGTTCCGTAATGAAAGAAACATTTTTTACTTATAAAATTGATGTTTATCACGTGCAACGCTCTCACAAAAATCAATTTTGCACATTCGTGACATTTTTATTTTTTTTGTCTACTTTATTAACAAATATAAAAAAGATTCAATAATACATTGAACGATCTGTGTCACAACTTTTGACACTTGTATCGTAGCGCTAGAAGTGAGCTGTCAGACGCTTAGATGCAGGACCTTCGCATAAATTCCGCCCATGGTGCGTCTTTTGCAATGAGATTACAGTCAGGGGAGGGATGATATAAAAGTGAAGCTTCCATACCAGAATTGGGTCCGGAAAACCATGGCAAAACCGGCCTGATTCTGGAGAACCAGGGAAAATACAATGATGATGAGTTTTTACAATTAAACTACGTTAACATCAATGGGAAAAATCAAATGAAAAATCACAAACTAAAATCTAGATTGGATAAGAAATTTCATAACAATGGTCCGAGAATTCGCGATTTGAAAAATTTCAGAAAATATACTGCGTAGAACGTAACCGATGCTTTAGATTATTTTTAAACGCGACTAAAGATTTGGAATTTTCAATTTCGACCGGTATACTATTCCAAAAGTTAATTGCAGAGAAACTAAATGCGCGAGTATCAAATGCAGTACGCGGATTGAAATTTATGCGAAGATTATTAGGATAACGTGACGATTCACCATTACGAATAAACATGTGATTCAGATATTCAGGCGAACAATTCGACAACTGCTTGAATATCAAGACTGCTGAGTGCAGTTTTGCTCTGCTCTCAGGAGTCAATCCACTCATTGTTGATTTTATCGACACAATCATTTCCCATTTGATGCTGACGCATCGACGATGGATACAGAGAGTGGGAAACGGGCAAAAAACAGCGCTTTAAAATGAGAGATTTAAAGAAACAAGCTTTGGACGGCTACTCACATTGATGTAATGAATATGATCGAGCAGTAGCGCCGACGCTATTGTTCTCAGTGCCATCACCAACGTTACCGATTCCGCTAACCCAACTAGATTGTTGTACGCCATTGTTGTTCGATGACGTTGCTGATTCATCCAGTTCCCAGCCCACCGCATTACGAATTCGGTCACGTTCGCCTAACATAGAGCTGTCACTGAAGGGTGAAACACAGAGCAAAACCATTATTATCCAAAGGTATGAATCATTTTCAGCTTATGCAACCAAAACAATATCGCAAACGAAAGAGTGAGGGAAAGTGAGGGAAAGCAAGAGTCGATGCCCGCAAAAAAAATGTGGCATAGTTCATGTTCTTTATTACTCACCGCTACATAAATCTACTCATGTCTCTCTTCAGTCGCATATAAGGATTCGTATTTCCTTAATGGCCCTGTTTGCATGATTCGCAATTTAATATCGCTCGAATCGAGTGCACGGTTTCGTAAGCTGTTGCTTTGATTGCTTTGGTTGCTTTTCCACTTATGACACTGTCGGCGTGGTACGAATGAGGGATTCAATACAATTGACAAATTTTTCAAACAAACAATTTCGGACCAAATATCTATTATCGATGTGTTCATTACGGTACCAAACGAATTTTCCATCATGGGTTTGTGGTCATATCGCAATAGTATGTCCTTCGTCGCGACTGGCACTACTACTACTTCTACTTGTTCTTTTGCTATTTTGGTTCTTGTCTCTTCTGTTGTTTGTGTTGTCTAGTGATGCACCTCCATTGTTGCTAGCCAGTACCTTTTCTTCTTACCATGATGTGCTATCAATTTCACTGCAAAGAAAAGCGACAAAAAAAAATATAAAAAATTATCAATAAATTTAAGAGCCGATTACAAACAAAATCGATTTAAAATTAATGAACCACTGAATTTGAATATTTGATTTTCACATTTTAATTTCAATTGATGCAGCCATGTTAATTGCAATCAGTTACGGTCAGTGATCATGTTAGATGCACAGATCCAGCTGTCAATGACAGGGAAATATGGGCAATGTTCAATTTATCGAGTTCTACCGCTAATCAAGAGCTATTGACACTCGATGTGCATGTATATGGTTCTCTCTGCACTGCCTCATATCGATAAAATAAATGGTGCGGTAAATGGGCTCGGAATTGTGTCCGTCTCTCACCCATTTCACCTTTATATATCACTGTATTCGGCAACAAAGTCCCTCCATCACACCCGAAAATCAAACGAAATAATCATTGCAGTGTAATAACATGAAATAAGGTCATCCGGCAACTCGATTCAAACTCATTTTATTCGTAAAAAAATGAAACAAACACAGTCAGCCAGCCAGCCAGCCAGCCAGCCAGCCAGCCAGCGAATAACTAGTTTAAACCGTATAAAACTTTAGCAATTGAAAGCGATCGAAAATCAAGATTGATTTTTTATTGATTTTAAACGTAATCGTAATCGATTTAAGGCTTCAAGCCAATTTCCGTTATATTGGTTTCAAAAGCAATTTTCGTTTTATGGTTTTTCTTTTATGCATGAAATTGAGTATGGGGCATGGAACGCGGTGCGCGCGATTTCAGGCCAATTCTTTCGCTGAAAAGCCGAAGAGTGCCGTACAATTGCATGGCAAATAAACCACACGCACACACACGCGCGCACTACCGCGTAATTATACACTGCACACAAACCGACCAAAGCACTATGATGGCAACAACGATAGAGATTTTGAATGCGCGTATATGAAAGATAGCTGAAACGAATGGTAATAATAAAAACAAGACCGAAGAGCTTCGCTTCGCTCCGCTCTGCGTTCTTGAGATTTGATTTATCAATTCTATTTTGTCGTTGCCACAACAAACTAGTTTTTTGCGCGCTACATGAAATGTATCTAATCTAAGTTGTCTTGAATTTTTATTGTGATTGAAATAGAATTCAATGTTATTTTCAAACTTGTCAAAATCGTTCGTAAAATCCTAAATGGACAATTTTTACTGTGAATTTTCTGACGAGGAAATAATTCCTGAGGTTATTATTCGAAACTCATTGAGAGAATTAGTTATAAGTTATGCGAGAAACAAATAAAATGTATGATAAAATATAGTTTGGAAAAAAAAATATAAATTGTATGTCAATCTTTTATTTATATATGAAATGTTATATATTAAATATTCATTAGTGCACCTGTTTTAAATCAAACAAAAAATATGAGCATATAATTCAAATTCACCAACATTTGTTTGAGTAGTCAAAAAGTATTAATAAAAAAAAGCAGATTAGTAGCTCTAAATTTCATGTAGTGCTAAAAAGTACTTTGAACGTTGCACATGCACTGTAAACCGCAGAGCAGAGTAGAGAAGCAAAGCCAACGCTTACACGTAACTCATTTATTCTTATCCAGGGTTGTAAGTGAGTTTATGAATCATAATCGTATCGTATTCACCACATACTCAGAAAAGCTAAAATGTAATACACATACAAACTGGACGAGAGTTTCTCTTGTTTTTTTTCTTTCTTTTCTGATGAGAGATAGAAAACACGTCGTATATTCCATTGTGAATGCATTAGCATGTCTGGTCAATAAATTTTTACAGTGCAAACCATACACAACGATGATCGAGCTGATGGTTGATTTTTGGCATTCGTGGTACTATCTCATAACATTCGTGACAGGGAAATATTAGGAAAATACAGGAAAAAATGTCTATTGTCTGTCGTTTCATTCTTTTTTTGTTGGTTTCTTTTCTCTTCTCTTTTTCTTTGTCTTCTTTTTTGATGCGGTGTTGTTGTGGCTCTGCTCTTGTTTGTTTGGTTGTCATTCTTTTGTTTATTACTGCAACCATGTTTTGACTCCGTCTTGGACAATTTTTTTTTTCTTATTGATCGCTACCGACGGAGACAACGGCAAATGACGAGGAACAGCGTTTAAATTGTAATTATATGAATACACTCAAACAACTCATCACATGGTATGTGTGTCGTGGGCGTGCTTCGCTTTGCTTTGGGCTGCACCACATTTCGGAGAATTGAACTCGATCGTCGTGCAAATATGTAGACATTGTAGACACATATTAGTGTTTGTTTCAAGTTTTAATCTTATAATAATGCAACCCCAATCAAATTCCATTCGGTTTCAGTTCCGTTTTTTCTCTCTTGTTCTTCTCTTATTTTTTTGCAGTGTTTAATTCAAGGTGCTCTCGATGTTGGGATACAATTTATAACATAGTTTGAATAATGCGATTTACGGCGACTCCCTTTTCGTCAAACACGACGGACAATCGAAACTGTGTGTGAGAGAGCGAGAGCGAAAGAAAATGAAAAAAAAAATTAATGCCTTTTACTACTGTTTGACCCATCCATATAGAGAAGCAGAACCGCTTTCAACCAGTTTAATAAGCAGAAGAGCTTGCTTTGGTTGCTTGACTGGCTATTTTTTGTTGTTGCTGTGGCTGTTCTATTCCGCCGCAACAATGGCATGCATTTGAATTTTTAATCGAAAGCTCCGTTACTACCTGCCTGAAAATTCCAGCCATTTCTGGTGGACATTGGAGCGACAAACTACTAATTTTCGGCATTTTCTTTCTGTCCATAGTTTGCAATGAGTCAGAGGTATTTTTTTTCTACTCTTTCATTTTGTCGGTGGCAAACGCACGCTCAAATCAATTGCTTTTCATTTCGTTGTTATTTTTATATTACAACAAAATGACCGTTCACACAAGCACAGTCACATCGAATGGCAAAGTGAACTAAAACAGTATTAACAACGAAAACGGAAAAATAATGTTGGCTTGACCACTGATACAAGCTCATAAATGTGTATTGGTTTTTGTACTGCCTATTTTGGATCATTTTTGGCCATTACCTCAACTATATAGTAATTTTACTGTTGCTAGTTGTGGGTTTTTCTCTTCAGAGCAACCGATTCGTTTGCTATAAAGGGTTGTTTGCTCTGTTGCGTCGATAATATCTTGTGTGTCGACGTGTTTGCTTCTATCAACATTTATGAATCAATTTCCATTAAATATTCACAAATCGATCATTTGTATTTTCCGCTTTTCACCTTACAAACACAGACACACAGACACACACACTAGTAGAATCATGTCAACTGGGTCTATTTAAAGACCAGGTATCAAACATCAAACTATAAGTACAGTAGTAGAATGAAAATGCTGAATGAAAAAATGAGCGGCTCGCACACAGACACACAGTCGGTGGAAATAAGAGAAAAAAAAGAAGAAAAGAACAACATATTTATCGATAAACAAACAAGACGGAAGCAGTTTTACACGCAATTTTTATTCTTCACCCTTATTTTCTGTGTCGCAGCATACAATATCTTTCTCCGCACGGACAGAATTAAATGGGTTATTCCAAACGAGAAAAATCGTGTTAAAACAATGAATTTGATGTCATTGGATCGAAATCCTGTTGAATCTCCATCAAAATTGAATTGATACACCTGTTTCCAAGCCATTTGTTTCAGCCAATTGAACGTAAAAACGTTCGGGCCCAAACAATTCGAATAAAATTGTGCCAGGGTATTGTATATATGCATGCATATGTGTAAGTGTGTGGACCGAAGAAACAAGTGCTTTTCCACTTTTACATCAATCACAATTCATTTTATGCACGTCGTAACACATGGTGCACAATAAATTTGTCTTAAAATATCAGATGATCAACAAACTATCAAACAATGCCCCGAGAAACGAACGGTCGGGTCCATGTGACATTTGTGATCCATTTCAAAATCGATAAAAAATCGAGTGTGCAACAGCTTGCAATTTTATGCTCTCGACAAAATGCAATGCCGCTCATGTTATCCTGCAGGCAAATCATTTGAGTGAGCGAGTGGTGTGTTTGTGCAAGGGAGCACAGAGCGCACTGACACTGGCACGGAATGAGAAAATGGAGTTCGGAAATTGGAAATGATTGAAATAGTATGTTTGCATTGAGTTAGATTCAAACCACAATATGCTGGATGTCGCCAATATTTCATTTTAAATGATTCAATTATGCTATGGTCGTGAAGTGCACAATGAAAAATTAATCGCGATAAAAGTCCAGTGCCATTTAAATTTTAATGTGACAAATCGGCGAGTATATTTAACGGCATTTATAGTTGTGCAATCCCCGCCAACCATTCGGAAATTTGTATAAATCATATTTTGTTTTCCGCAGCCACAACAAAATCCAATTAAGAAGCTAGAAATCGCAGCCTCTGGTCGACACACACTCACAACAACAACCGTTTTGAGAGAAAGACAGAGCTTCCGTTAATATACCGACATAAATGTGATATGATCATTATGTTGAACATATAATAATGTCGTGTACTTTGTGTGTATCGTGTCTTCCATCTCGACATCGGCATTCATAAATATTAATGTGTTTAAAGTACTTGATGTGAATGTGCGTATGTGCCGACGAAGAGCCGTTCCGATACAAAGTATTTAATCGACATTTAATAAAACGGAATAAATATTCATATTATATGGTTTATGTTTCATAATAAACGCCTCTAACCGTTTTTCGCGTTGTTTTCATTTCGCTTCGCCATCCGTTTGCCACTATTCGTAATGACATGCTACACCGCACCGCGCCAATATATCAATTATCAATTACCATTATCATTAAACAAACATCGACCAAAAAGTGAATCTGTGTGTGTGCTGGCAGGGAGGAAGGTGGGGCGGGAGGGAGAAAGAGAGTGACGTTATGAGCCCTATTACGCTTCAAATAATTCGGAGCACAATTTCATCTTGAACATTAACTCAAACGGACATGACTTGTGATTACGATAGAACCTTTC